TGGTCAGCAAGCAATTAAGCACCTATTCCAAAAGTATGTCCTAAGTGAATTTAGTGTTACAAGCATGGACTTTCTGTGGTGAATAAAAGATTTTACTAAAGCTAATTTTTATATAATAAAAAATATACAGCATTTTTATTGAGTAGAAATCACAATAAAATCATAGAAGGTTTTTATAACAACTTTCCTGTCGAATTTGACCAGGTCATTATTGTCCTATTCCCCCAATTGGACAGAATCACCTTTGGATCTAAAATACAGAAAGGTATACAACACAAATCATCGAAATGACATCATTAGTGCTCCTGTGATCAGTTTTTACATCAACCATAGGCTATCCCAAGGATTTGTAGTTTTCTCTACGCGTTTCACAGACAAATTAACCACTTCTTCATAAGAGAGGGAGAGTTCTGATATGTCTATAAGTCAAACATACATTTGTTACTCAAATTTTTACAAAATCATGAAATATTTGGGGTAAATACATAAAATACACAATTGTACAATACACTCCAAGTAAACAGTGCTTACTGCGAGTAAGCAAAGAAACTCACATACATACAGTGGAACCAAGGAGAATGAAAGTAGCCACCCTCTAACAGGAAGCCCAATCACAGCAGCGAAAAAAAAAAACAATTTAGAGATTTGGAGGAGGCTGAGAGCAACAGAAGGGAATTTTATGAGTTAAAGCAGTATTCAACCCAAAACAAAAAATGTCATATATTGCAGCTTACCAATGCTTAGATGTGGAGGCTGCACTAGTTTTCTTTTTTAAGCTTTTTTTCCTTTTATTTTTCACCTGTGATCTGGCCAGTAAGTCTGCCATTTTTCAACTTTCTTTACCAGACTGGGCTGTCCAGGTAAAATGGCAGTAACAAACCATTTTTCACAGGCAGGGGTGCTTAAAATGATCAGCTTTAATTTTTTTAAGTCCATTTAAATGTTTTAGTGCATCAAATACTACTCTATCCCCAATGCTGCTGTTCAAAGGTATCTCCGTTGAGCCAGTCTATCCTGACTGGAGACACCCTAAGACAGGAAGTTTGTTATTGCCCAGATCCCCGGTGAAAATAAATAAAGCCTAAAAAAAGAAAACTAATGAAGCTGTCATATTTTAATGATAGCTAAGCTGCAATTCCATACATTTTTTTTATTTTTGGGTTTAACCACTTCCCGCCCGTAGGACATCATATGATGTCCTCGGGTTGAAGTGGTTATACTGGGATGAAGCCAGCACCTTCACCCATATGGAAGAAAAAAATAGATTTGAAATATATCTTAAATATATTCTTTCAAAATATATTGCCATATATTTGAAATACTACAATTTTGGCCATATTCAAGTATTCAATATATTTCAATATATATATATATATATATATATATCCTAGATTGTAAGATCAAAGGATCAGGGCCCCCTATTCCTCTTGTATTGAACTGTATTGTTGCTGTATTGTCTCCCGTTATATTGTAAAGCGCTGAGCAAACTGTTGGCGCTATATAAATCATGTATAATAATATATATATATATATATATACATACTGTATGTTGAAATGCATTCTTATTACAAAATATATGAGAATTATTTTTAAAAATAATTCTTCAAATATATTGTATGTCTTTAAAAATACAAATCTGCATTTTTGGGATGTATTTACAAGTATATGTAAAAATATATGTTAAAATGACCTTTTTATATGTTAAAAAAATCTGAAGAATATGTTTAAAAAAAACAAAAAAAATTATATATATTTATATATATATATACAGTTGCAAGAAAAAGTATGTGAACCCTTGGGATTACGTGGAGTTTTGCATGAATTGGGCATAAAAAAAGTGCTCTGAACGTCATCTAAGTCACAACAATAGAAGAACACAGTCTGCTGAACATAATACTACACAAACATTAGATGTTACCATGGTTTAATTGTACATAACATGTAAACATTCACAGTGCAGGGAGGAAAAAGTATGTGAACCTTTGGACTTAATAACTGGTTGACCCTTCTTTGGCAGCAATAACCTCACCCAAACGTTTCCTGTAGTTGCAGATTAGACTGCAAACGATCTGGAGTATTTTTTTGGACCACTCCTCTTCACAAAACTGTTTCAGTGTAGCAATATTCTTGGGATTTTTGGTGTGAATCTCTCTCTTAAGGTCATGCCACAGCATTTCAATCGGGTTGAGGTCAGGACTCTGACTGGGCCACTCCAGAAGGCGTATTCTGGGCTGTTGCAGCCATTGTTTTGTTGAATTACTTGTATGCTTTGGGTCATTGTCCTGTTGCATCACCCATCCTCTGCGGAGCTTCAGTTGGCGGACAGATGGTCGTACGTTTTCCTGCAAAATGTCTTGATAAACTCTGGAATTCATTTTCCCATCAATGACAACAATCCGTCCAGGCCCTGAGGCAGCAAAGCAGCCCCAAACCATGATGCTCCCTCCGCCATGTTTCACAGTGGGGGATGAGGTTTTGATGTTGGTGTGCTGTGCCTTTTTTTCTCCACAACATAGTGTTGTGTGTTCTTCCCAAACAACTCAATCTTGGTTTCATCTGTCCACAGTAATATTTTGCCAGTAGTGCTGTGAACATCCAGGTGCTCTTTTGCAAACTTCAAATGTGCTGCAATATTCTTTTTGGACAGCAATGGCTTCCTCCGTGGTGTCCTCCCATGTACTCCTGCTTCTTGTTTAATGTTTTCCTTATTGTAGATGTGTCAACAAAAATGTTAGCATGTGCCGAGATTTCTGTAGGTCTTTAGCTGACACTCTGGGATTCTTCTTTACCTCATGCAGCATTCTGCGCTGTGCTCTTGCAGTCATTTTTACAGGACGACCATCCCGGGAGAGTAGCAACAGTGCTAAACTTTCACCATTTGTAGACAGTCTGTCTTACCGTGGACACATGAACATCAAGGCTTTTGGAGATACTTTTGTAACCCTTTCCAGCTTCATGCAAGTCAACAATTCTTAATCGTAGGTCTTCTGAGAGCTCTTTTCTGCGAGGCATGGTTCACATCAGACAGTGCTTCTTGAAACCAGTAAACCCAAAACAGGTGTGTGTTTTTTAAGGGCAGGACAGCTGTCAGCAACACATCCAATATCATCACACTGATTGGAGTCAAGGTTGGCTCACTCCTGGCTCCAATTAGCTCTGGGAGAAGTCATTAAGCTAGGGCCTCACATACTTTTTCCTCCCTGCACTGTGAATGTTTACATGTTATGTGCAATTAAACCATGGCAACATCTAATGTTTGTGTAGTATTATGTTCAGCAGACTGTGTTCTTTATTGTTGTGACTTAGATGAAGTTCAGAAATTTTGATGCCCAATGTCATGCAAAAACCACGTAATCCCAAGGGGTTCACATACTTTTTCTTGCAACTGTATATATATATATATATATATATATATATATATATATATGTACTGCATGTTGAAATACATTTTTATTGCAAAATATATGAAAAATATTTTTAAAAATACATTTCAAATATACTGTATGTCTTTAAAAAATACAAATCTACAGTTTTGGAATGCATTTACATATATATGTAAAAATATATGTTAAAATTACTTTTTTATATGTTAAAAAAATCTGAAGAATTTATTTAAAAAATTAAAGCGTCCCTCCCCCCCATGCCTACATGCAAACACATACGTAAGTCCCAGTGATCAAACCACACTTGTGAGGTATCGTCGCAAACGTCAGAGCATGATCAATAATTTTAGCTCCAGACCTCCTGTGTAACTCTAAAACTGGTAACCTGTAAAGGCTTTTAATGCGTCACCCACAGAGATTTTTAGGTACCTTAGTTTGGCGCAGATCCACAGGCGTACGCAATTTTAAAGCATGACATGTTTGGCATGCATTTACTTGGCACAACATCGTCTTTAATATTTTAATATTTGTTTGTGTGCCATAAAATTAATTAAAAGTGTATTTTACAAAAAAAAACACTGTGGAAAATATTGTGTGACATAAAAAATTGCAACACACACCATTTTATACTCTAGGGCCTCTGCTTAAAAAATATATGTTTGAGGTTCTAAGTACATTTCTAGCAAAAAATACTGAGTTTTACATGTAGGATAGAAATGTCGGAGTTGTCGGAGTTGGCCTGGGTGGGAAGTGGTTAATATCACTTTAAAGTGTCATTAAACTCAGACTATGAGCTTACAAAGCCACTAAAGCATTTATTGTGTGCACAATGAAATATACCTGGTTGATCCTGCCTTCAGTTGTTCCTCCAATCTTCTCCATGTCCCCACTGCAGTTTGAGATTGTGTAGACCAGCTGGTGTCCTCTACGGAGCATGCTCAATTTCAGTTTCCTTCTAAGCTCTTAATTTTTTCCTTTTTCTTACCTGTGTGGACCATGTGACTATAGAGTCACATGTGTGGGTGTATACACAGTAAATTACACTCCCCTCTCACCTTCCTCCTCCATGTCCTCCTATTACTAAACACTATGGGGCGGGATATATGCTGATTGATTACATTTACTAAGAAACTCACAAAAATGCTTAGTTTTACTATAAATCCACATAAAATACATCCAATGTAATTGCTCTTACCTGTAAAGTTAAAAAAGAGCATTGTCCTCTGAACAAAATAAAAGCTAGTGTCAATCATCTTTGACTCCGCCTACACCATAGTAATGCACAAAAAATACACATTTGATGTTCAATAAAGCTTTATAGGGATCTGTGAAACAGCTTTGATATTTATAATTGAATTTGAACTGCTCTTCTGAAACTGTTTTTTAGTGATGTGACTGGCACAGCATCAATTAGGGCTGTGCAGACACAGACTCACACTGCAAGGTACCATGGGATCAGGGGCGGACTGACCATTTGGAAACTCGGGCACTGCCCGAGGGCCCGGGGTCTGTAGGGGGCCCCATGAGATGCCCCTGGTAACTTTTTCATAGGCTTTTTTGAGTTTGGGCAAGGAAACAGGGGCCCCATGATCCCCTATTGCCTGGGGGCCCCATGAGTTGTCAGTCCGCCCCTGCATGGGATATATAGTCCTTAGAAATGGAGGAGAAGCTGCAAAGCATGCAGGGAATCCAGGAAGTTGTGGAAAGAGATGGTCAGGAGACAGGCAGCGTTCACAACATGAAAGGAGATTTTCAAGTAAGCTTAGATTGGATTGTCAAATATAACTATTGTTTGTATTGTTATTACAATTCTGATGTTATAATATGAAAGTGTACGCTGTGACCATAGATCTCCTTTAACCCCTTCCTGCCTCCTGGCCCTTTAGGAGGTTCTAAATGCTGGGAGGCAGGCATTTCAATCATGTGACTGCTGTAATTGGCAGTCACAGAGGTCACATGATCAGAAAGCTCCTGATTGCAAGTACCCACCAGTTACTTTACTGGGATCTCGCTCTCAGCACAGTAATTTGTTTACATAGATGTAGCACTACCAAACCCGGGACTGGTTAGACTCCCATAAATATGCAGATTATGTCTTCACCCCCTCCTGACCACTGGCTTCTGAGAGGTTTTATGGTCCTCCAGAGCCAGGTGGAGTCCCAAACTGTTAAGTCATCCAGTCTGACCTGCAGTAACCCGACCCAATTACAGACTCACACAGTTACTATGAATCATACACAATAAACTTGCCAATACTATTCTAGTAGCACACTAGAGGCTACTACATAGAGATGCATATATGCAGTGGCTCAGCGTTTAAGCCCTCCTGCCGAGAAAATACAGTTAATCTTCATTAGTGATAGTGATTCTTTACTGAAAAGCCAGCCATACATGGATCGACATTCAGCCGGTTCAGCAGGGACCGGTCAAATTTTTTATCATTGTGTGGGCTACTGGTCCGTTTATCGATCAACTTGTACACCTAGTCTGTCGTTTTTTTGGCCATAACCAGCAACACTGATCATTGTATTCTGATGGTGGGGAAGGCTCCCCACTGTCAGACTACAAAACCACAGCTGGAAGGATTCCCCCATCCACATCGAATGTGTGGATGGGAGAATCGGTTAATTTTCTTCCATTTAACCCAATGGTTGGACAAAAAACAAACTTATCGTGTATAGCCTGCCTAAGGCTCCGTTCACACTAGTGCAATTTCAGATGCAATTTGAGCTGCACAGAATTGCATGACATTGGAAATCCCATTGGTTTCAAAGGTGGCCATTCACATCAATGCAACTCAGCACAGCACAATTTTGGAGAAGCTTCCTGTACCACTTTAGTGTGATTCCAGCACGGTTTTGGCCCTATAGTATACGCAAACTGCTTCAAAGTAGCATCAAAGTTGCATCCATAATTGCGCTAAAAGTCGTATCAAAATCTGATCACAGCAGTGTGAACCGTTACTAAGAGCTGTGACACTGGAATCATTTTTCACAAGATCTGCATATACTGGACACGTGTAAACGCTTTAGTCCCCATTCACACCTGAGTATTTTGTTGTGCGATTACTAAAGCACACCCATGCTCAAAATTAACAATCCCCTTATTCTTAATGGGTCCGTTCACACATGAGCATTGTGCAGGTTTTCTCCTGTCCTGTGAAGCTGCTTCAGGGTGGAATTTCCTGTACTAATACAAAAAGTGCATACAAATGCACAAAAAAAGCCTCCAAATGTGAATGGGGGCTTAGGGCCCATTAACTGCAATGGTGTATGCATATTGCATAGTCATTTTCATTTACACCCCAATGCTCTCTAAGGCAATGAACCATAATGCATTGCAGTGCATTACAAATTTTGTGATATGTGTGATTTTCGGGGTATTTTGGTTCATTAGCATCCAGGGGTGGACTGACCATTTGGAAACTCGGGCACTGCCCGAGGGCCCAGGGTCAGTAGGGGGCCCCATGAGATGCCCCTGGTACCTTTTTCATAGGCTTTTTTGAGTTTGGGCAAGGGTACAGGGGCCCCATGATCCCCTATTACCCGAGGGCCCCATGAGTTGTCAGTCCGCCCCTGTTAGCATCTTATATTTTATTCAATGGGCTGCCTTAATGCACTGAGCATAATGCACGTGTGCTAATGCAGCTCAACATTGTCAATGGACCCTTAAGGAGACTTTGTTACTTTGCCCATTCAGGACTATGCAGCAGCCATTATTTTTATTGTAAAATATATTAGACACAGCAGTTATTTTATTGCAGTACAGCTATACATATAGGCCCCATGCACTTTGGATGTTTTTGCTATCTTTCCTGGAGACCTTTTCTTTTGGCAGCGGTGTTTTGGCAGATAAAACACTTGACACTTGTAAACGCGTGTAACACGTTTAGGGACATTAAGACACAGCATGCACTTGGGAGTTAATTCATTTTATTGGCCATGATAATAAATTATTCTGCCCTTTGAAATGAATTAAAGCTCAAGCTCTAAATGTGCCGACTGTAACGAGCGTCACATGCGCCAAGCGTTTTTTTTTTTTTTCAAAACGCAACTGCTCCTGTACAGTGAAGGAAATAAGTATTTGATCCCTTGCTGATTTTGAATATTTACCCACTCACAAAGAAATGATCAGTCTAAAAATCGAATAGTAGGTGCAGGGGCGGACTGACAGCTCATGGGGCCCCCGGGCAATAGGGGATCATGGGGCACCTGTGTCCTTGCCCAAACTCAAAAAAGCCTATGAAAAAGGTACCAGGGGCATCTCATGGGGCCCCCTACTGACCCCGGGCCCTCGGGCAGTGCCCGAGTTTCCAAATGGTCAGTCCGCCCCTGAGTAGGTGTATTGCAACACTGAGAGACAGAATAGCAACACAAAAATTCAAAAGAAATGCATGTCTAGCAAATTATGCATTGATTTGCATGTTCATGAGGGAAATAAGTATTTGATCCCCTATCATTCAGCAGGATTTCTGGCTACCGGGTATCTTTCATACAGGTAACAAGCTGAGATTAGAAGCAGACTCTTAAGGGGAGTGCTGCTAATCTCATTTTGTTACCTGTATAAAAGACACCTGTCCACAGGAGCAATCATACAATCAAATTCCAAACTCTCTACCATGGCAAAGACCAAAGAGCTGTCCAAGGATGTCAGACACAAGATTGTAGACCTACACAAGGCTGGACTGGGCTACCAAACTATTGCCAAGCAGCTTGCTAAGAAGGTGACAACAGTTGGTGTAATCATTCGCAAGTGGAAGAAACACAAAACAACTGTCAGTCTCCCTAGGTCTGGTGCACCATGCAAGATCTCACCTCGTGGAGTGTCAATGATCATGAGAACAGTGAGGAATCATCCCAGAACTACACGTGAGGATCTTGTCAATGATCTCCAGGCAGCTGGGACCACAGTCACCAAGAAAACAATTGGTAACACACTACGCCAAGGATTGAAATCCTGCAGTGCCCACAAGGTCCCTGTGCTCAAGAAAGCACATGTCCAAGCCCGTCTGAAGTTTGCCACTGAACATTTGAACGATGCAGAGGAGGACTGGTTGAAAGTGTTGTGGTCAGATGAGACCAAAATCAAGCTCTTTGGCATCAACTCAACTCGCTGTGTTTGGAGGAGGAAGAATGCTGCCTATGACCCCAAGAACACCATCCCAACTGTCAAACATGGAGGTGGAAACATTCTGCTTTGGGGGTGTTTTTCTGCTAAGGGGACAGGACAACTGCACCGCATCAAAGGGACGATGAACGGGGCAATGTACCGTCAAATCTTGGGTGAGAACCTTCTTCCCTCAGCCAGGGCATTGAAAATGGGTCGGGGATGGGTGTTCCAGCATGACAATGACCCAAAACACACAGCCAAGGCAACAAAGGAGTGGCTCAAGAAGAAGCACATTTTGGTCCTGGAGTGGCCTAGCCAGTCTCCAGACCTTAATCTGATTGAAAAACTGTGGAGCGAGCTGAAAGTTCAAGTTGCCAAATGTCAGACACCAAACCTTAACGACTTGGAGAGGATCTGCCAAGTGGAGTGGGCCAAAATCCCACCTGAGATGTGTGCAAACCTGGTGGCCAACTACAGGAAACGTCTGACCTCTGTGATTGCCAACAAGGGATTTGCCACCAAGTACTAAGTCATGTTTTGTGAAGGGGATCAAATACTCATTTCCCTCATGAACATGCAAATCTGTGCATCATTTGTTAGACATGCATTTCTTTTGAATTTGTTGTTGCTATTCTTTCTCTCAGTGTTACAATACATCTACCATTCTACTCCTAGATTGTAAGCTCCAAGGAGCAGGGACCTCCTATCCCTCTTGTATTGAACTGTATTGTTGCTGTATTGTCTCCCTTTATATTGTAAAGCGCTGAGCAAACTATTGGCGCTATATAAATCCTGTATAATAATAATAATAATTAAATTTTTAGACTGATAATTTCTTTGTGAGTGGGAAAACATTCAAAATCATCAGGGGATCAAATACTTATTTCCTTCACTGTATGTACTTTAATAGTAGTGAATATAAGCAGGCAACTCGGTGTACTCCAAAATCCAATTCTTTATTGACTACATATAAAATACATGTTTCAGCCTTAATCTACTAGTGGCTAGGCTGCTACATGTACCTAGGGAAGGTTATTGACCATGGTATAACTTGTGAGGGATTTGCTCATAGACTGAGTTCCCTGCCTAAAACATCCCTCCCCAAATGAGGCGATTGGTTCTCTGCTTTAAGGTGACACCCTGCTGAGTTCCTAAAAAAGAGGCTGTTATGCTTGGAGCAGTAAGTTGAAGAAATCTCCCTTTTAACACCAGGAACCAAATTTGGGAGAAAAGGCGCCCTTTTGCTCAGGACACTTGAATCTGCTTAAACCAAGGCTGACGGCAAGTATTCTACCTCTCTAAATTTCTTTCTGTTATCTCCCTGTTTTGGTATTGCTCTCTGTATTTATATATATATATTGGGTATATCTTTGTCTGTAAATATTTTTATTGCACCCTTTTGGCCTTTTTAGTAATAAATCCTATTATCTGAAAAGTGTTGAATTGTTTCTAAACCTCTCTAATGCAAACTAAGAATCCCTGTCTCTGAAGAGCGTTACTGTGTGTTTTTAACCCTCTATACACATCTGCCTGTGGTGACAGTGTGTGTAAAGATGATTATTCAAACATCATAGTGTTATTGCTAATATTGGCGAGTTTTCTCCTCTGTACAAAAAGGCGGTGGTGTGGCAGTGTGAAGGGTTAATTGCGTAATTAACCTTACCCAGTAACAATCGCTTTCAGGCTGCAGGTACATAGACTATGGTCCATTAGCTGGAAAATCTTTGTGCAGGGTGCAGCTGAGCGTGGCATTGTTACGCACGTGACAGCGCGGTTTTAGATTGGCTAGTCCTTCGGTCACAAGTTGGTGAGAAGGGCTGGGGGTCTGACGCCGCGACCGTCACACCCCCTACTGAGTCAGACCTATAGCTTTGCAACTAGCAAAACTCCCTGTTGATTGGAGAGCTCTGGCTCTGTCTCAGTAGGGGGCATGTTGGACCTCTGTAGAAAGACAACTGCTTCCAAACAGACAACAGGGATCCTTCTTGACAGCGTGCTGGTAGGGGACAGGCTTTCCAACCGAGGCTGTGGTTGTTTTCTAAAAACAGCTGTAAGAGTTTGAACAGCTTTTGTTTTAATACATCTGGAATGTATTTAGCTGATTAAACTGAGATTTCAGTTGTGGATGTCTCTTTGCAGGATAGGGCTGTCTCTTTGCTGGATGGGGCTGTCTCTTTGCTGGATTGGGCTGTTTATTTGCTGGAGGAGATGTCTCTTTGCTGGATCAGGCTTTCTTTTTGCTAAATGAAGATATCTCTTTGCTGGAAGGGATGTCTCTTTGCTGGGTTGGGCTTTCTCTTTGCTATATGGAACTGTCTCTTTGCTAGATGGGGCTGTCTCTTTGCTGGATGGGGATGTCACTTTGCTATATGGGGATGTGTATTTGCTGTAGGGGATGTCTCTTTGCTGGATTGGGCTGTTTCTTTGCTATATGGGGATGTCTCTTTGCTGGATTGGGCTGTCTCTGCTATATGCGATATCTCTTTGCTTCATGGAAATGTCTCTTTGCTGGATTGGAATGTCTCTTTGCTGAATATATGGGTCTGTAAATTTGCTGCCAAATTCCTATTTGCCGATGCTGCGAACATGCATTTCTGGGTGACTGGTTCCTAACTTTTTTAGCTGGCTCCTAGATGCAAAACAAATTTGTCAAGCCCTGATATGTCTAATATGTGTATTTCCTATGATTGTCAGCTTTAACTAGTGACCTTAATGAGGTGTTTTCCTAATTGCGATATTTCAGGAAAATACAATATTATGGCCACTAGATAGAGGTGACTATCACAGGAAATGCACATATTAGAAATATTGGAAGGATCATAATGTTAATATCTGAGAATCACATGCACATTGATTGCGTTCCCCAAGGTCTTCAAGTTATCATAGAAGAAGGCCTTTCCCTTCCCTTTTGTCAGAGGGGCATGGGGTACACCCTGGTCTATCTGAATCGAAAATGCATGTTACCAGCACACCAAGGCTCTCCAGAATGGGTCCAAAACTTTATGATGTGATTGCTAAATAAAGCTTTGGACCCATCCTGGTGATCCTTGTTGTGCTGGTAAATACATTTCCCTATGTGCATTTTTGGTTCCCAGTCAGTGGTCGCTGCAGCACCCACTTCTACAGCCAGTTTCAGGAATTAATGCATTGTGAATATAGTACTTAAGCTGGCCCATCTGAATGGTCAACAGCTTGGGTTGGCAGCATATTAATTTTCTTCCCCTACATGTGCAAAAACACACTGAGAAAGGGTGTCATGTACCTGGTTGGAGGACAAAACGATAAGAGGGCTTCCCTTGTGGCTAAGCTCCAAGCGCTCCTGGTGGTGGGGACAGGGAATGCAGGGCTCAAAGAAGCATGGGTGACCTGCTAAAGACTGCTCATGGTAATGTCTGGCTGGAGAGTTGCTCGACATGGCATCCAGGTAGTCAGCCATACTACTAGGACCCCAGGTAGTGAGGCAAGCCCAGAACAGCGGCAGGAGGTAGACAGCACCAGAGGCAGGTAGCAGATCAGACTGACAGAGTGGAACTGAGGCAGAGTAGTAAGGACCAGAGCTTAGGTCATGCACAGGAGCCATACAATACGGACAAGAGAATGGTCAGAAGGGCAGGCCAGAGTCATACTCAGGTGGTCAGAGGAGGCAGAGTCTGTAAGAGTTAGCCGAGGTTAGAGCCAGGAATCAGGCAGAAGATGGTTACAGAAGCAAGCCAGGTGGGTAGCATGAAGTCCAAGAAACACAGGAGATACAGAAACAAGAGTATGGAGGAGTCAAAGATCAATCAATCTCTGAAGGCTGCTGTCTCCCTTATAAAGGGAGCTCGGTGCCAGTCTTAGGTGAAGGTGTGCACAGGCGCACGCATCCCTATTTTGGCATGTGCCGGTGCATCCTTAACACGTCCCTATGCATCTGCGCACATTCTCGCACAGGCAGGCGCAGCCATGCAAGGTACAGAAATGCCCGTAGCGAAATAAATAAGAAATAGCGCAGGGCATACATGACTAGGCCCAGAGTGGGTGAAGGAAGAGCAGAAAGGGTTAAGGTAGCTCCAGGGGGATTTGTTATTGTTAGTGGGGGGTAGCTGATTGGTAGAGGTTGGTGTAGGTGGGGTTTGCTGCACCTTAGGGTGGGAGGTTCTGTGAGGGGGGCGTCAGTTAGCTGGACGGCAAGAGTGTGAGCTTCCCTCCCGCCCTCCCTGTTTGGGTGAGTTTTGGGTCCCTCCAGGTAGAGGGGGGGATTATGTTGGTTCATGGATGGTTGTTGGTCTTTGGAGGCGGTTCTTATTTTAACGGTAAACAACAATGGTGTGGGACCCATCCGTGGTATGGGATGCCCGGGGACATTCCCAGTTAACCAAGG